CCAGTCCTCGGAGAACCATCCTTTGCCCACACCCCCGTAACCCCCTTTCACAGCACCCCGTTTATTCCCTTCATTGTCCTTAGCACCGCTGCAATTATCCGTTTACTGATTTATCTGCTCGTTGCCTGCCTCCTCCAAGACCCGCCTCTGTCTCACTCACTGTTCTGGCTGTGACGCCAACCAGGTGTCCAGACATAGGTAGGAACTCAGTCAATGTCGGTCGGATTACAAATCAATGTTGGTCACACCTTCCACAGGAACCTCCTTCTGGAGCAACGTCACAAACATTCCCAAAGCCGGGACACCCCGCACGTTGCCCACGATGCGCGCAGCACCCACGTCTGCACAGGGCGCGGGGCAGCCGCCTGCTGATGTCGGCGCGCAGCGAATTCAGACAAAAGCGCAGGGCCGGGAGAGGGAGGCGGTTCAAAGAATATAATTACGGTAAAATGAAGCAGCAAAATGGCAAAAAGAAACGGAAATCATCACTGTTCCTCATGTGCCCTTCGCTTAACGGATGGCAAACTGTAGCAATAATTCTCAGCATTTAATGGAAAACTATCCCAGCGTGGGAACCGGACCTGGAACAAGGTCATGGCAAGAAGCTCTCCTTTTTGTTCCCACTTTTGTCACATCTGTTTTCACAGCGATTTGCTGGAAATGAAGGTTTGTGGATGAAGTAGCCCTTTTGAGCAAGGGAGGAGAGAAGCCCGGGGTCGTGGCGCATACGCCAGCTGCGCCGGGGAAGGACGGCACAGGTAACGAGTGGATAAAGGGACGTTGCCTTTACATTTTCTCCTGAGACGATTGCCTTGGAGAAACCATGAGCAGCCACAAAACAGAAGCCCATCTGGGAGCAACGATTAGGACACAGAACATTCGAGATCACTGTGCTGTATACTCACGGCCTGTCCTCCATGGGTCATGGCCAATTGTAAAGGAGAGTGTCCGTATCTCTTCACATGTCCTCCCTTCTCTCCTTGCCCCTAGAGTGGGCGCTCAAATGGACAAGCAGGTGACCTCGAACACCGATGGGGTGGGGAGCAGGGCTAAGCAGTGGGGCCGTGTTTAAGGCGGAGGGGTGGGGAGCAGCGCTCCTTTCCTTGACCAACTTTTTAGGTTCTCTTGGGATCGGGTAGAACTCACTGTGTAGCAGCCAGTCTAAGTCCCCTGACTCTACTCCTTGCTCTTCACATGCTGGAGGGCAATAAAACTGTATGATAATAATATTAATACTAAGGTTCACTAAGTGCATTATTGTATATATATATATA